TGTAGCGACTGATAGGAAGCTGAGTCACTGAGCAGCAGAGGCTGGCTGTGTACTGTAGAGTAAGTCATGCAGGGTCAGTGTGTTGCTGAGTGTAAGTGGCGATGTGTTTGTTTATGTGCCCGAGGCCTGAGTAGGCTGCAGTGGGCCTGAGTCTAGGTGTGTGTGTTTGACTTGCTTTTTAGGTTGCAGCATGCAGTAAAACCTATTCATTAAAATACACAGAAAAAATTAAATAAAGTCTAAAGTCAGAGATGTAGAATGTCAAACACTTAGCACCTGATTCGTTTAGCATTACAAACCGCACCCTTCTTTCATGGGAATAACTAAATAACTGATACTGAAATCTTATCACACGCATCGAATTCAGACTTTTGAAAAAGGAGCTACACATTAACAAGAAGCACATACAAACCAAACAGATGGTTAACTGCTTGGATAGTAATATAATTGTCACCCAGAATATTCTCAGGGACAAACCTATGCTGACACTGAATGATAACTTGTTGTGCACAAATGCATCACTTTTATCACTTAAACTTAATTTAATTCATTTCCTTTTTTGGAGCATAACTTTTACCACAAAATTTCCTGAAAATACTTTCAAACTTGTTTAGGATTTCCTGCTGGCAGAAAAATGCCTGTGTAAACTAGGATCGCCTGGAGGAAGCAGGTGGGATCCGTTCCATCTGTTGTGGGATTTAAAACACAGAAGATGAGAGGAAGTGACTTGGGGACAACCTGCGAGGTAAAGAAATCAAATATCTGTGGATGAGAATATAGTAAACATGTAAAATGTTTTGAGCGATGGACTTCGTGCCAGGCAGATATATCAGTTCTGTTGAATGCAATCTGGATGTGAGATGTCGGCTTCTTCCGTCTCCACAGGCCCACCAGCTGGTCCAAGAATCATCCTCCTATCTAGATTATTCCATTTGCATTAATGGTGCAGCCACAGAGTGAATAGGAAACTGGACACTGTCAAAGCACAAACATTTCAGAGCACTGTCTTACCGCTATAAAGAGGACTCTGATAGCACATTATTGTTTTAACAGCAATGCTCTGAATGCATCTTTCTACCCAGTTTAAATAATCTCCACTTTGCTGTTCTTTTGTGTCAGGTTACTGTGAATAAAGCTCAGTACTTCATTCAGTTGCCTTTTGAAACATCTGTGCAAGAAATATTGAGCTTCATTGACGGTACATGGATCGTCAGTGAAGCTCAAAATTGCTCCATCATATATTGGACACGCTTGATCCACTTTGAGGATCTCCTCAATCCCGGCGCCATGTCTTCCGATGAGGAAGCAGAGGCTGAGGGCTCAGAGGTGGACTCGTCCATCACCCAAGCTGAAGTCACTGAGGTAGTCAAGAAGCTTCTCGGTGGCAAGGCACCGGGAGTGGATG